GATGTAAAGTCAAGTGTGTACTCTGGTTAAAGCATTTCCCACACTCCTGACACTTATACGGTTTCTCTCCTGTATGGATTCTGTGATGCGAAGTAAGGTGTGTGCTCTGACTGAAGCTCTGTCCGCACTCCTGACATTTATATGGTCTCTTCCCAGTGTGGATGTTGCGGTGTATAGCAAGTTTCCTGCTGTGACTGAAGCTCTTCCCACACTCTAGGCAGGTAAAAGGTTTCTCTCCGGTGTGAGTAATTTTGTGCAGAATAAAATACGTGCTCTGACTGAAATTCTTCCCACACTCCAAGCACTTATATCGTCTTTCTCCTGTGTGCATTCTTTGATGCTGAGAAAGGTGTCCGCTCTGTCGAAAACCTTTCCCACACTCCAAGCATTTATAGGGTCTCTTCTCTGTATGGATTCTCTGATGAACATTAAGACGGGACTTAGTACAAAAGCTTTTGCCACACGCTTGGCATTGATTTTCTCTCTTTTCCTCCTGTACCTCTTCTTGGGCTGAGATTTCATGGACCTCTCCACCTTCACTGGCAATGGGTTCACCGCTCTGTCCTTCTTTGGCTGCCATTTTGCTTGTCGGTTGCCTTTTTTGTTCTTCTTGAACCCCAAGGGCCTCCTTTGTCTTTAGATGTTCAGCTTCTGTAGACATCTTGCCTCCTTCTCCTTTATTCTGCCTTTCCAACAAACCTGCAATGGAGAAAAAGAGAAATCTAATTTAGAGCCAACGTAACTGGTCTGGAACGGGGGGAAAAAATCAAGGGAAGATGGAAAAGCCAAACAGCTGAATTGGGGTACATTCATAAATTTTAATACCAATTCCAATGCCAAAACTTTTGCTGCCACCAAACATGGGGACTTCCACAATTCATATCCTTCAGGGGACAGTTGGTTTGTATTTACACTTGTAATTTTATTATATTTTATTTTTAAATTGTTTTGCTTTAATTCGTAAATTGTTTTAATTGAGATCCGATTTAATAACTTTTTAAGGGGGGAGGAGGGAATTATACTGTTTTAACTGTATGTTGTTTTACTACTGTACACCGCCCGAATTGGCTCGCCACAGGGCGGTATATAAATAAAATTTATTATTATTATTATTATTATTATTATTATTATTATTATTATTATTATCCTCACTGGACACTACTACTCTTTATTCACGGATGCCACCACAGGCATGGTATCTGAACTCAAGCTCTCTCATATATTGCATTGTTGTTGCTGTGTGCCTTCAAGTTCTTTCTGACCTATGGGGGATCCTAAGGGGTTTTCATGGGGTTTTCTTGGCATGCTCTGCTCAGAGGAGGTTTGCCATTGCCTTCCCCTGAGGCTGAGAGAGTGTGACTTGCCCAAGGTTACCCAGTGGGTTTCATGGCCAAGCAGGAAATCGAACCCTGGTCTCCAGAGTCGTAGTCCAACACTCAAACCATTACGCCACGTTGGCTCTCATATATAGCAATCCTGGAGGCCAAAAGCATATAAATACAAAAGCAATACTTTATTAACATTAGTTGAACATAACGAGGGAGATTAATTATCTAATCCATTTAAAAGACATCTCATACTCTCTCACATTCCTCTTCTAGCTAACTCAGACCTTTAAATACCAGTCTCTTCCTAAACCTGACTATCTCAACACTACTTCCAACTCATTTGTTCCAACACAACGCTAGTCTCTGTTTAACTACTCATACTCCAACTATCCTTTTCCAACTCTATTCAAATCCCCTTAGATATTCCACTAATCACCGCTCCCTTCCAAGATTTAATTCCCTCATCCCCTCGCACCAGCTCCTTACCTTATTTCCATAATATCTCGTACATAAAACAACATTTTTCCATGACATCACAGAAACCAACTTTTTAAAAACAACATAATAATTGAAAATAGGGACTTCTTGGAGCATTTGAGTCCTGACAGTAGCCCAAGTGGGCCTTGTAATATTGACAGGTGTAGTTGCCTCATTTGCCTTAGCCAAAGCAAGTTCCTAGATACTACTACGCCACTTTAGCTGCCATGGCTCCAATTCTCCAGATCCCGGGATGTGTAGTTTTGTGAGGCATCAGCACACTCTGGTAAAGAAGGCTAAAGACTTTGACTGATCTACCAGCGTAGTGTAATGGTTTGGGCATTGGACTATGACTCTGGAGACCTGGGTTCAAATCTTGGCTCAGCCATGGAAACACACTGGGTGACCTTGGGCAAGTCACACTCTCTCAGCCTCAGAGGATGGCCGTGGAAAACCCCCTCTGAAGAAACTTGCCAAGAAAATCCTGTGATAGGTTCCCCTTAAGTCGCCATCACTTAGAAATGACTTGAAGGCACACAACAACAACAACAACAAGAAGAACGAAGCACCCTACAAACACCACAGACCTCCTGGGTCCTGTTTGTTCTGACTCTTGACGTTTTTCTTCCCCATGTCAATCCCCCAGCACTCACTCCAACCTCAGCCCCAAGAAAGGGCTCCCAGATAAAGAAATGCTTGGAGAAGTTCCTTAACTGGACTACAATTCCCAGGACCCCCTGGGTTCTGCTGGCTGGGAGTGGAGTTAGGGAGCTGTAAGAACATCTCCCAGCTCTGATGAATAAAGAGAACTGTAGAGAACAAATGTATTAATTCCTCTTGTCTTGATCGAACTTCCACAGAAGGCAGGCTTTTAATATATAATCATGTCAGGGTGGCTTTTACATGGAGTGTGTGCTTAGTTATGTTTTTAAACTTTTGTCCATTTTTATGCAATTTTATGCAGTTTTTAGTTCTTTGTTGTAGTTGTTGTGGTCCTCCAAGTCGTGTCTGACTTATGGAGACCCAAAGGTGAACGCATCATGGGGTTTTCTTGGCAAGATTTGCTCAAAGGAGGCTTGCCGTTGGCTTCCCCTGAGGCTGAGAGAATGTGACTTGCCCAAGGTCACCCAGTGGTTTCTATGGCTGAGGTGAAATTCGAACCCTGGTCTTCCAAGGTCCTGGTCCAGTGCTCAAAGCAGTACACAATGCTGTTTTTAGTTCCATTATTTCAATCGTTCTTAAATTTTATTGTAAAGTTTTTAAAATGCTTTTATGTGAGCCGTCTTAAGTCTGGGAGAAAGATGGCATATAAATGAAATCAATCAATCAATCAATCAATCAATCAATGGCTTACTTACCAGAACAGCCCCCTGCAGTTCTCCACCATGTCTTGCCAATTTTATTGCAATTTTAATAATTCAATTGTATTAATTACTGCTGCTGTGTTTCTGTCTTTATTACTTTTACTTGTTGGGTTTTATTGTTATGTTTTAGCTTTGATGTATTTTTTACCTTTGTACTCCTGCCTCGATCTGCAGGGAGAGGCAGGATACATAAATAAACCATATTATTATTATTATTATTATTATTATTATTATTATTATTATTATTATTATTATTATTATTACAGAACACTAGAGACTGTTGAAGTAACACTCTGCTACTTATGCACAGATCACCAGTCTTTGAAGGAAAGAAAACATTCTCCATTAACAAATATTTTTCCATAATCTTGAAGAAGAGATCCCTCCTGAGTCCTGAGCCATTAAACTCCCTGGGTGAGTTTGGTTGAATCCAGAGACATAGCTGTGTTAGTCTGGAATATCATTATACAAAGGGATCTTGTTGGACTTTTGAGACTAAGGGCCTTTGCAGACTGCCAGAAATAGTGCAAATTGAGTCCACTTTAACTGCCCTGACTCAGTGCTAGGGAATCATGGGAACTGTAGTTTATTGTGGCACCAGAGCTCTCTGACTGAGAAGGCTCAATATCTCAGAAAAAAATACAATTCCCATGATTCCCTAGCACTGAGCCAGGGCAGATAAAGTGGACTCAATTTGCACTATTTCTAGCAGTCTGCAAAGGCCCTAAGTGTGCAAAAGAATGTGTAGGGTAAGCTTTCATAGACTTGGTCTATTTCCTCAGATGCAATATTCAATATTGCCATTTATTCAAGTATAATTTACACATTTATACAATTATATATGTAATTGCAAAGGGATCTTGTTGCAACTTTGGGAGTAATTGAGGGAAAGACGTTGGTAGCATAACCTTTTGAAGACGTGGTCTATTTCCTCATATGCCATATACAATAGTGCCATTTATGCCATTATAATTTATACAATCATATATACAATTGCAAAGGGATCTTATAGCACAGTGACTCCCAAACTCTGGCCTTACAGATGTTCTGGATTTCAGCTCCCAGAATCGAAGACTATTGGCCAGGATGGCAGAGGCTTCTGGGAGCTGTAGTCCAAAACACATGGAAGGTCAGAGTTTGGGAATCACTGTTGTAGCACCTTTGGGACTAACTGAGTGAAAGAAGTTGTAACATACGTAATCTTTTGCAAACTTGGTCTACCTCTTCAGATGCAATCTTGAAGTAACTTTGAGACTAACCAAGATTTTAAAAATTTGGGAGCGTAAACTTTTGTAGATTTGGTCTACTTCCTCAGATGGAGGACTTTGGGTTAGTCACACTCTCTCAGTGTTATCATGTGGTTGTGAACATAAAGTGGGGAGTGAGGCTAGCTATGTGCACTACCTTAGACTCACTGAAGGAAAGCCAAGATGTAAATGTAACTAATTAATAAACAAGTTACCCAAATAAAATGTAACTAATCAATAAAAGGAGAGACAGTGTGATGTAGTGGTTTGAGCATTGAACTATAGTTATAGAGATTAGAATTCAAGTCCCTGCTTGATGTTTCACTCAAATCTATGCCACTTCACCATTTCTACCCTTGAGTAGAAAGAGCCACTTGGTGCAGTGGTTTGAGTATTGGACTACAACTCTGGAGACTACGGTTTGAATCCTAGCTTAGCCATGGAAACCCACTGGGTGACCTTGGGAGAGTCACACACTCTCAGCCTCAGAAAGCCCCGAGATGGGTTCACCTTAGGGTTGCCATAAGTTGGAGATGATTGAAAGTGTGCAAAAACAACAACAACCTACCAGTGTACTATGTAGTACCAGTGTGACGTAGTGGTTTGAGTGTTGGACTATAACTTTGGAGACTTGGGTTCAAATCCCTGCTCAGCCATGGAAACTGGGTAAGCTTGGGTGAGTCACACACTCTCAGCCTCAGAAAATTCCATGACAGGTTCACCTTAGGGTCTCCATAAGTTGCAAACAAGGCACACAACAACAACCTACAAGTGTACTATGCAATACTAGTGTGGTGTAGTGGTTTGAGTGTTGGAGTATGACTCTGGAGACTAGGGTTCAAATCCCTGCTCTCCATGGAATCCCACTGGGTGACCTTGGGCGAGTCACACAGTCTCATCTCCAGAAAACCATACGCCTTAGGGTCTCCATAAGTCACAAACAACTTGAAGGCACACAACAACAAACCACCAATGTACTATGTAGTACCAGTGTACTACCTAGTACACTGTAGTGGTCTGAGTATGACTCTGGAGACCAGGGTATGAATCCCTGCTCAGCCATGGAAACCCATTGGGTGATCTTGGGACAGTCACACACTCTCAGCCCCAGAAAACCCCATTACAGACTCTGGAGACCAGGGTTCAAATCCCCATTCAGCCATGAAAACCCACTGGGTAACCTTGGGCAAGTCACAGACTCTCAGCCCCAGAAAACCCCATGATAAGTTCATTTTAGGGTCTCAAAAGCTGGTAAAGACTTGAAGGTACACAGAAGCAGAAGCAGCAGCAACCCTTGGGTTAACCAAAAGTGTTAGGATGCAAGCTTGTGCATAGATTTAAGTACTTACTCTTTGTAGAGTGTTTATCAGCTGAGCATCACTTTATGGATTTGCTCCCAGGATCATCCTCCTCCTCCCCCCCCAAAATCATCCCAATCTCCAAATGCAAAAATTCTCACTTGCAGCCCCAGTTTTAATTCTCCCCTTACATTTTGCTTCTCCTTTCTATACCATTTTTTTGGCCAAAGAGGTTTGGCACCCCCAAGATCCATCCAGCACTCCCTGGCTACTGAGTTACATCACAAGAAAAAAATAAATAAAATAAAAATTAAATTAAATTAAATCAAGCCTACCTTCCCCTCTATTAAGAAGGGGAGGGGGCAGGAAATGATGTCACCAATTTGCAGGTGTCCCTTCCTTCTTAAATCCTGCAAACTCTTGCATTTTAACCCTTGCCTAGCATCTCTGGAGGTCTCCCACTCATAGGGTTGCCACAAGGCAAAATCAACTTGACAGCAACATGGAAGCAAATTTGGGTGCATCTACACTATAGAAATGATGCAGTGTGACACCACTTTAGCTACCAAGGCTCCATCTGACAGGATCCTGGGTTTTGTCATTTTGTGAGGCTCCAGCAGTCTTGGGCAGAAAAGGCTCCAGACCTTGCCAAATTACAAATCCCAGGATTCCATATGATGGAGATATAGCATAAAAGGGAGCCATACAGGCTGTCGACTGCACCGCTTCTACAGTATGGTAGTGGTGGAGTGTGTCTTCAAGTCATTTCTGGCTTATGACAACACCGCGGCGAACTTATCACAGAGTTTTCTTGGCAGGTTTCTTCAGAGGAGGTTTGCCATTGCCTTCCCTTGAGGCTGAGAGTGTGTGA